CTAAGAGGGGGGGGGGGGGGGGTTTTTAAAATTATTCCTTTTCTGAATGGTAATCATAGAAGAATGAGATGCAAATGAATTGTGGACTCATATGCATATATGTAGGTGGCGATCGTCCTATATGAACAGAATGGATAAAAAATTCATTTTTGACGTGGATGGTATTTTTCCGCTGGAAATGAGCATTTATCTCACCGATCGATTTGTTGTCCACTGCTGAGTACGACACACTTTTGTTGTTGCACCAACCAGTTGAAAAAGAAAAATTAAAAATCTCAAACATTATTCCTGGCATGAATGATTAACTTGATGTTGTTCTCTATAGCTTTTTTTGCGTTGTCTGACACGTAACAGTATATGCATATATGTTGAGGCATGAAACAGAAAGAAAAATATGTTCGTACGCATGATCCAAAACAGAGATCAAAACATGAGTCATTTTGTAAAATAATAAATGAAATCAATTTATTCGAAGTGGATTAAATAATTAATAACGTAAAGGACGGGGGCGCATAAGAACCTGAATCGGTCCACTGGACGTTTTTTCATTGAACATCACTGAATCATGCATGGAACGAAAGACAAAGTTTTACTTAACGTTTTCATATTGTATTCGAGGGACCATAATGATTTTTCCTCAACATTTTACTTAAGCTCATAATAATACGCATCCAACTTATGAATAGTAACCCAGATGAACAAGTTGCCAAGAACAACTTTTTACCTTAAACTTCGCTAATGCCCCAGCAGATAGAGCTTGAAAAAAACTACAAAATGATATAATACCCGAAGGCTAAAAACAATGGCCACATGGGCTCGACAAGGACATTATGGTCAAAAGTCTACCCCAGTTTTCATAACTAGTAGCCTTTTTCTCTATATTTGTCAACAAAAACTTTCTTGCTTCAACCTCGATAATACCTCAGCAGATAGAGCGTGAAAAATTCTACAAAACCATATGACTTTTAAACCTTAAAAACGATAGCCACTAGAACATGATCAGTGCACTATGTTCAAGACGCCATCCGAGTTTCATGAATACGGATCTGGTGATCCATATTAATCAAGGGACATTCAGAGGTGTCAGTTTCGTGGAAATTAATGCAGAATGCCTAAAAGTGTTTTTGGAGCGATATGATTCATGGGATTTAGAAAAAAGTCGCAAATGTGCATCTGCTAGATGTAATGTGCGTAGGTAATATGATGCACGACACATAATGAGAGCACTTTGGATACAGAAAAGTACTATGGAATTTAATTTAAGTATGAGATGAGAATCTTAGATACATATATGGTTCGTGACATTCATGAAAGTGTCGGAACGACGTGCAGAAGGACTCAGGAGAGGAAAATCATCTGTTCGTTAGTTTTGCCAATGTGACTATCGATTGCTGTAATGATTATGACTTCAAGTCCTACCTTCGGTCCGACTTTCATCGTCCTGGTTAGTTTCGGTTTTTTGGAGGCAGCTAAACTCTCCTGCCTATTGCGATTGATATGACTACTGATGTCGAAGGTTTCGACGTATCTCAGGTGAAAGAATGCCATAATCAGGCATTGAAACCTTTGTTAGTTAACTCTGGTGCGCGTTAGCTGTCCTCTGGCAGGTTTTACTACTAGCTTTGTACAAAACCACTAAAGCATGCTTCATGTGTGAAAAAGCATTGGGTCTAAAATGGTGATAGTAGTCATGAGTACTCTACGATTCACATGATGTATTCTCAAACAGACTCCACAGAACAGCTCTGAATACCATTGCAAATTCGTTAATGGAAATTAGTAGAAGTCTTGGACCTAGCCTAAGTCTTCCGTTGTTTATTCTGAAGAACACGTGTTTTAAACGTCTTTGAAAGGCAGAATCGTAATCTATTCTTGTGGTTACGAATTTTCTAAGTGCTACAAGCAGCGTCTTTTCCAGCCTTTTCTGTGTCCTCTCGGCGTATTACGATAAAGCTGCAAGAAGGAGGGACCATGTGGATTAAATACGGTCGCATCTTCATTATATGTTGTGAAGTAGCTTGTATTTTTAATATTGAGCATCGGCTAACACATAATCATTGCAGTATTCAACATTTTTGCGAATTTCTCAACGAAAATGAATCTTAAATCTAGCTATCTCTTTTCAATGATATGCTGTGAGATTCAAAATGAGAATGTTCGAGTTAATTCATATTATGATAGTTAAATCATGGTTTCATAATATAGAAACTGGAACACTGTGATTGTGTATTGCCCGATTGTTTCGAGAATGACAATCACAAAACAAAAATATATGCTCTTGTTATTATAAATAAAAATTTTCGAATGAAATCAACATTTAGTTTTGAAATGAGATTAAAATCAAGAAATGTCAAAAGCGTCAGTTTTCATCAGAAATATAATCACCATGCTGCTCTACTGTACGAACGCAGAAATTCTCAAATTTCAAGCAAAACACACTTCGTATTCTCTTCTTCTGAGTTTCACTAATCCTCTTGAATTTCAAACATATGATAATACACGTTTGTATTAAGAATATTGCAGAATCGTTAACCTAATAATTTCAAGTATTATAAGTTACAAACCCCTTAGGATATGGGTGTGGATGAAACGAAGAGAAGTCTACACCCACACCCTCAGTTGAATCTACTTGAGATGTTACTGAAGATATTGATCATTATTGGATACTGTTACACAATAACCGTGTTCAATCATGCGTCTGATTGCTTGTCTACTAGTTTGTCCTATATATTGAGAAGGACAGTCATTACATGTAACTGATAAACAATTCCAGATTGCATATTCTTCGGTATAGTATCTTTGTTACTAAAGCGTTGTCCAACTGCAGGGAGTGGTTTAGTAACTACTAACACTGGAATAAGAGGATTTTCTTTTCTTGCAAACTGTCGTAAACGTCTGATGAAACTACCACCGACAAAATTAACGCTACATGTAGGGTGTGGATCTTCTCTTCATTGACAGTCCACATCCACATGTACATCAGTACGAATGTAAATGAAAGATCAAAATCGAGCTGGTCGAAGTTGATGATGAAGACAATAACGATAAAGAAAATCTAAATTTCTGAAATTCGCAATTGTGACACTGTCATGTATTTGATTTCTAAATCAAAATAAAACATGATTTTTATACGATAATCGTATCTTGATGAGTACTGTAGGTTTCTGAACAGAAGCAGCAGTACTCACCATATAGAAAATGGAAATTCAGCAGTAATTGAGGTAGCATTTGAGAACCTCAAAGAATTCGAAAGAATTCAAGGCATTCTACAATCAGAGTGGCTCGAAAAATAGTGACACAACTTTACCGAGGGTCTTACAAAGACCAGCACATACAATCTCAATACCGGTATCCTAAAAACTGAATTTAACTTGATTTTCTTGAGTTCCTTGAAATTCCAATTTATGGATGATGGATATATCTCTATTTTTATACTTAACCTTTTACTTTTTAGATTTATATATATATAATTTTTTTTTTTGAATAAGTATAATTTAAATTGCTCAAAACATAAAAATAAAAAATTTTAGGCAACGCTAAATATGAAAAAATGATTCATACATGAACACGTTAAATTTTTCCACGTTTCGAACTCATATTAAGTCAAATAAAGACATCACTTAAGTAGATTGCTTGAGAATGATTGCTTCCCCCCGTTATTTGTGTATCAATTCATCGTAAATTAGACGAATAAAGCTAGTTTGAAAAAAAAAGAAAGCATCAACAAGACAACATAAGAACTTCAACCTGTATACCAAAAGGTTGATAATCAGAAAGCAAGTAATCGCGTAGCGTCGATGAGACCTATTTAACAGCCATTGTACATAAGCCATGACATAATGATTATAGTTGTTGCTCAATTGATGTTTATGGTTTCAATCATTAACATATATGCGACAGAGGGTGGGGGTGAGGCTTCTGATTTTGTCTTTATCCACACTCACATCCTTCTTTTCGTTGTCACATGGTCGGTATATTGCCTGACAAGTTGAATTAACGTTGATCGTCTTCTCCAACTTCATTTTCTCCTTGAGACAAAAGTCATCATCAAAACGTTGAAATGAGCATTACCACATGAACCATCCTTTTTGGAATTTATCTTCATGAGAAAATATATTAAATAAAATCAAAATATCATTTCACAGACAAATAAAAAATGATCTTATAATTAGATGCATTCAGTAGAGTAGACGTAAGGCAGAAACGATTGATAGATGTCACAAAATCAACTCTTAAAAACAACTGCGATTGAAATTCTATTATCAACAAATAAATTCAATTCAAAGCTGTTTAAGAGTGCCACACTCAATAACTCATTCAACAGTTCGTACCTTTAGTTATGAGACTAGCGTTTTTGAAGAAAATTGCCTACCTTTCCATTCAATAGAGACATCTATCACAGTTGGAAGTCTTAGACTGAAAAAAATATAGCGAATCTTTTGAGATTTATCAGAACTTTCAAAACGAATTTTTCGTAGTTTGCGGTAAATTTTGGAAAACTGACCAGACTGTAGATCAACATTTCGCTCGAACACTCATGACATCTATCCCAATGAATGTAATGAACTGTTGCAATTATTCAATTATTTTCTTCAGAAAAGACTCAATATCTTGTTTACGAAATGAATGAAATTGTTTGCCTCGTTTCTTGTAATGCTTATTGGCATCAACTTGCTATTGGTACCTTCGTGGTGACTCATCGAAAGAGCATAGTTCGCAAAAACAATGAATATAAATTCAATAGATCGGTAAAATACTGTTTATGTTTCTTTATTTGATCGAGTTAGAACGGGAATCGGATTTGAATTCAGTGATTAGTTTGTTTTTCTCACAAAGAAAGTACCGTGTGATTTTATGGACATTAAATTGAGATAATAAAATCATGTTGTCAACAAGATGGCAGCAAGTCCACGTGGAACTTTCTCAACACAAGAAATGAAAATTTTTGAATTTCGAAATGATATTATTTTAGATACTTTATCTCTTGAAAGAATCCAACAATGTTGTCATCATCCATACGTTGTCCACTTAGTCGTACATTGAATCGATCGGAAATCGAAGATGTTCTTCAGAAGAATTCACTCAAAATATCATCAACGTATGGAATTCTAATTGGTTCTCGTGCTGCTCGATATTGGTTACCGAATTTTCGACGAACGTCCAATGATAACGATACAGATTGGGATATAATTTGTTCATCACAATTTCTATTAAACTGGTTACAGAAAAATGATGCCAAAGTCAATCATATTGAGATGATCATACCAATATCGAATGCAAATGATCTCTTGGATCTTTACATATATTGTACTTTAGTCGATACTTCGAACTATGATTTCGTTATTCCTCGATCATCTACATCTTACACGACTTATCTATTAGATAATTTGGAAACTTGGACTGTAGAAACATACGTAAATAAATTTTTGGGAAAGGAAAAGAAGTCTATACAAAATGGTTCAGCTAAACTATTGTTGATATTGAAAAAGTTCATGTTATATTATAAACATCAATGGATCAAAACAGCAAAAGACTATCGACAATTGCTTACTATTGCTGATCAATTAACTGATAATGACACCATATTGTGCGATTTATTTATTCAATATAATGAAAAAATACATGGAACTAGACTTTCTGATACAGATCAATTTGTTGTCCATTTGTCCGATACTCAGAAAGATACAATAAGTATCAGACGAGATGAATTTTTGCACGAGAACAAAGACAAACAATTATCAGTAGCTTATCAAATTGCATGGTCCATGGCTATAAATGATGATATTCTTGTTGGATTGGAATATATTTGTACGCAAGCTCCACTGTGGTTAGCTGATTTTGTCGTCAACAATTGGCTTGATATTCAAAACGAAAGATTCAAACAGAAGACTCAACTATTCAAACCATCTATCAAATTCGAACTTGATAATTACCGGTTATTCCCAGATATACCTGAATTAGCATTACAGAAAGTAGTGTGCAATATTACGAATATTATTGATTTTCAATCGATGCAACTAGTGTGTAGACGATGGTATTCGATTTTAAATGAAGACCTCTTCTGGCGAGACTTGTACTTATTCCATTATGGAAGAACATCTATTGACGTAGATGATGCCAGCAGTTGGAAAATAATGTATTTTATCAAACTGCAAGGACATAGTCACCAGGATGACAAAGAAATCAAAGATCTAATGAATGCATCGCTTCAATTGAGACAAACTAAAGTAACTGACGTCGTTCAATTGTGGGAAGATTTGACACATGAATACCAACCAATTGAATCTGTTCTCATGTCAAAATTGACTTACATTCTATCAAATGCTTTTTATTACCACATGGAAAATACTTCGGATATTTACTTAGTGAAGTTGGCTCTCATTGGATTAGAAGATACATGTTCACGATCTGATGTTTATATAAAACTGCGCATTGGAGAATACGGAAGTTCTCGTTTTACTGATCATATAGAAGAATTATCCATTGAGTTGAAGTCGAGCACTAATGAAAGTCGTTCATTAAAGGTTCTTGCTCCAAACTTATTTGGATTTAATCTATGTAAACGTGGATATTGTCCAACACTTAACCAAACACTCACTTCGACTTCGAGTAATCTATCTTCTCAATTTCCATCTGGGCTTCTTATGTGTCTTTTTATCATGATGGTTCATCCAGCTCATCGAGCACACTTCATTGTATATCTAAGAAATCTCGAAGCTCACTGTCAAAACTTACATCATCTGTAGGCTACTATATAATTGTCGACTTACAATTAACTTAGAGATTAATGTTACAAACAAAATTGAAATTTAGGCAAAATTCGTTATAGATTAATTCATTTTTTTCATAATAGGAATGGAGAAAAAAGAATTCAAGTATTTGTTTAAATAAAATTTTAAAAAAAAGCAGGACATTCATTTTTACATATATAATTACATCATAAGTACACCAAATGACTTCTTTTTCAATATCAGAATTTGAATTTTGAAAACAATTTTACAAACAAGTAAGTGAATATCTGAAATCTTTAAATAAAAAAATTCAAGCAAAGCCAGTGACTACATTAACCATGAATGAGAAAATGTTTCATCACCTTATAAATAAGTTTTTATCACATTTCAATTCATGTTTCACATCTTGGCATTGCACATCTTTGATCGTACAAAAAACATAGCAGTTTGAAACTTTGATTGTGCGATACAGAAAAAAACTACATCGTAGTTAGTATATGATGTCATACGTGTCTAGATAGTTTACTGATGAACTATAGATAGTATAATCAACATATTTTATGAATTGTTATAAAATATTGCTATTCATGTCAAAAAAAGAAGATTATTAAAAGAATTTATCTGATCAATATTACGAATAAGTTCGTTTCTAAACATTTAAACATCTACTCTTTAAACTAAAATTGAAAACATGTAGAATAAATAGCACCTTACCCTTACAGTATTCAAGACATAAATGTGAAAGAGGATTGAGATAAGTATAGTTTCGATTCTCCTTCTTTTTTTCATTTTTTTTTCGATGAATCAATTCAAGTTGAGATACAGACAGTACGCTATTTATGAACAGAAGACTTGTATCGATTCATAGCAGTCTCCTTATAACCATTCCACTGATTGATTATTGAATCATCGATTAGATGGATTATATTCTCTGAGCTGTTTTTACAGCTGTCACAAATAAATCATGATTCAAGAGATTAGTATTTATTACCGTACTTGTTGCTAGTATGTTACTAATATTAACTCTTGACGAAGAGAATATTCACTTAAATCTATGTGTTAATCTTTCTATGAATAAAAAACGTACTAATAACGATCAGATAAGAATGAATTGCTTATATAAATCACTGTCCAACAATAGATTATCAGAGACGTTAACAGCCATTAATCACTTTATTGAAAGACTCAAACCGGCGTTATTCCAACAACATATATCGTCTTTTATGTCGAACTGTAGTCAAATTTGCATCGAAAAAAACTGGCGTAGTCTACATTCTTATTTTCTTCGATCATTTTTAATTTCATGATCTTTAATAGCTATGTTTAGTTTTGTCTGACACATAAATATTTATGATCATCTCTTTGTATAATTGAGAAATGAGTTGAAATTTCAAAATTTTCAGATCAGAAAGAAGTATATTTTACAAACTAAAGACAGGATTGTGATGAACCTCTTTTGCTATATCCAAATTGTTTTATCACTAATCAATTTCTACTTTAGAAGTTATTATGATTTTATCCTAAAGAGTCTATGGACATGTTTAAAATAGCAGCACTTCTCTAGGATTTCTATCGGAGCTTTGATGCTTCACTTAAAATCGATAGTAGTTCTTTTATCCGGAGAGAGTACGGCTGTGGCTGAGGGTTATTGATGTGAGCACCCACACCCTAAAGCAAGATCTTTAATTCATTTTCTTAATTATGATAAAATTCAAAATATACTTTGGAATATTATACTGAATATTGAACAGAAACCATTTAGATGAACTCACAGCTACATGTATTAGGTCACTATGTACAGATTGAGGAAATTCATAATTTTGCTCAAGAAAGTTTTGAGAAATTAAATTCTATTCGACAACATTGAAATTCATTTCTTATTTGCCACGGTACTTCAGCAAAAATGTATCCATTCACAATTCATTGTTGATATTTATCAAACTGTTGATAAGAAATCATATTTTGATATTTCATCGTGTATCGAAGTAGCAGCAAAAATTTTTGAAAAAATATCTAATGACTTATGTACGGCAGCTCATCAAAATGAAATTGGAGAGAAGAATTTTCGAAATCTTAAAAGATTTTATGTGGGTTTGAACAAGAAGATTGTTTAAAAGTGTATGCATGCTTCGAGGATGCTTTTCCTCATTATGTTCAGATGTATCTGGAAATCATGTTGTATAAATATCAGCAGCTCTTAAGTATTGGTAGTTCCTAATATTATCCAGGTAAAGAAGAACTGATAATATTTTATTTAGATTGTTTCACAGGGATTTATTAACAATTATAAAAGCTATTTTATTATCTTTGAATAGAGTTAAGATTTTTATGTAACGAAATCGTTGACTTTTTCATACATATTTGTCCTCTATTGATAAGAAAATTTTGTCATATAATAAAAGATAATAAATATTTGACTATGATAAAAAAAGAAAATTTCGTTTTTTCTTTCTTATGTTGAAGAGAGAAAAAACTTTGAATTATATGCATATCATTTACTCCAACTGATAAAGAGTAAAGAACAGTTTTTATATCTCTATCTTTTAACCAAATGCATGGTGTACTTGTAAAATTGTTTAATTGAAATAAATAAACTATTATAAACCTTTTTATTAGTTTAGTATTTTGTGATTAATCAATGGCTACTTCTATTTTATTAAATGATGATAAATGTCTTGAAGTTTTTTCTCCTATTTGGCTTGATTCATATGCTAATGACAATCGACATGCAGAACAAAAATTACGTTCAGTTATTAATTATTTGAAAAAATTTCAAGATATTGAAGAATGTGAACAATATATTGAAAAAACATCAGAACAAAATCGTTTAATTCTTATTGTTAGTGGTATGTTAGGTAGAGAAATCGTACCTTCAATTCATTATCATCGAAAAGTTATATCAATCTATATTTATTGTATGGATAAGGAAACAAATGAACAATGGTCTTCGAAATTTATAAAAGTAAAATTTTCGATAGAAATTTTTCTTATTTGACTTCCCATAGGTAAAAAGTGTTCTTACTCATATTGATGATCTTATTTCTCAACTAAGAGAAGATTATAAAATTCAAAGAAAAATAGAACAACCATTAGCAATAAATAGATTCTTAATTAATGTTAAATCACCAACTATATTAAATAATCGATTTCTATTTTCACAAATACTTATTGATTGTCTTTTAAAATTACAATCAAATGAAAATGATAAAAATGAATTAATTCATCTTCTTCAAAATGAATATCAAGAAATTTGAAATGAATTGAATAATATAAATGAATTTAAAGAAAAACATGTACCAAATAAAGTATTATGGTGGTATAAAAAAGACTCTTTTTTTTTCTAAAACTCTTAATGCAGCATTAAAAACAGACAATCTTCAAATGATATTTTTATTTCGTTCATTGATATTTGTTATTCAACAAGAATTACAAAAGTATCAATATAAGAGACATATACGAGTTTACCGAAGTCAAATCATGAAATATAATCAATATTTTTATTTACGAGAGTCATTGAAACAATTTATATCAATTAATTCTTTTTTTTTTTCAACAGCTACAAATTATTCTAAAGCATTTTCATTTTTCAATCCATGGAATATTTACTCTGATTTCGTAAAAATTATTTTTGAAACGATGCTAATCCGAATCTTGTTACAACAAAACCGTTTGCTGATGTAAGTGTATTTAGTGATTATCCAGATGAAACAGAAATTCTATTTATGACAGGTTCAATATTTCGTGTTGAAAAAGTTTTTTCTAATGAAAATGGAATGTATACTATTCAAATGAGTTTATGTAGTGAGAATGATTTCGATTTAAAACAACATATCGAAAATGATGTTACTAATTCGAGAATCTTAGGAAAAATATTATCGAAAACTGGTAGATATAATTTAGCTGAAAAATATTTTAACCGTTTAATCAAACAACTTTCATTAAATGATCCTTTACTTGCTGATTTATATGAAGACCTTAGTGAACTTACATCTCAAACAGGTGATAATCAAATGAGTAAGGAATGGCATCAAAAATCAATAACATTTAAACAACAAAATCAATTACCTGATGAACCTACAGGTTAGTTTATTCGAAAAAAAAATATGTCAATTTGAAATCGATATGATAAGAATAGCATGCATAAGACTTTCAAAATTTGATTTTTTTTTCTTTTTTAAGAAAATATTTTTTTTATAAATCGATTTCAAATGAATAAAAAATGGAAACAATCGGGTGTCACAATCGCAAAAGGAAAGGGAAGCATAGATGTAAAGCAATTCGAGATGCCTTCTGGTATTTATATTGAGAATGATTCACAATGCATAAATGTTGCTGATCATTCAAAGCATCGTATTGTTCAATGGAACTTTGGTTCAAAGAATTGGCACGTTGTTGCTGGTGGAAATGAAGCTGGAGATCAAATCAATCAATTGAATAAACGATCTGATGTTATAGTAGATAAAAAGCCTAATTCCTTGATTATTTGTGATCAAGGAAACGGACGAGTAGTACGATGGTCAGGTGAAAATAATCAAAATGGGAAAATTCTTATTTCTAACATTTCTTGTTTGGGATTCACAATGGATAGAAATGGTGATCTTTATGTTTCTGCTTCGGGGAGCAATGAAGTGAGAAGATGGAAAATAGGAGAAAAAGAAGGAACAATTGTTGCAGGTGGAAATGGACAAGGATACCAACTTAATCAACTCAATTTTCCTACTTTTATCTTTGTCGATGAAAATTATTCACTTTATGTGTCGGAATTGTACAATCATCGTGTGACAAAATGGTTGAAAGATGCAAAAGAAGGAATTATTGTTGCGAGTGAACGATGTGGTGAAAATAGTTCGACACAATTACATTATCCGCAAGGAGTATTTGCTAATCATTTAGGTGATGTTTATGGAGCTGACACTGGATATCATCGAATAATGTGTTGGTCATCAGGCTCAGAAGAAGGTCATATTGTTGTTGGTGGAAATGGAAAAGGATATCAATCAAATCAGTTTAATTATCCGAGAGGTATAGCATTCGATCGTCAAAATAATCTTTATGTTGCCGATTTTTTCAATAGTCGAATCCAAAGATTTGATATTGATAAAAGTTAAAATCTTTTCTTCAAATAAAATAAATTTACGTCTTAACCCTTGCTTCTCAGCAATTGACCAAGTTGAAAATAAATTAAATTGGAGCTGTGTACTTATAGAAAACAATTGAAAATAATGTAGAATTAATTTTTATCGACGCATTTCATGTTATTTATTTAAAAATTGAGGGTGTGGGTGTGGATTTGACTAGAAGACTTCGACCCACACCCCGGCAACTGCCAATCACAGTTGGGATTATTAATATGACTTCGAAAAGATCTGTATGAGACCGAAAACAGTATAAATATTCTGACGACAGAGATCACAGCGAAGAGCTATTGTTGTAAAGTAAATGTTTATCTGGATGAAATTATTCTTGATTGAATTTTATGAATACTTTCGTTTGCAATCACCTCTATCAATAGATCAAATAAACGCTCACAAGTAATGAACGTTTCAAAGAAATGGTAGTTGTCGTTTTCGACCTATTGATGTTATAAATAGACTTACCTATCCTGTTTTGTGAAGTAAGTAATTGTTAGGGTGTGGATGTGTGAATGTGCGTGGAAGAACATCATCGGTCAACCTCACACCCACATCCTTTCTTGATTTCTATTTGGTTTGATCGATGATAGCTTGAAAACTAAAAGAAATTGCTTGAAAGGTATGGGTAAGTATTAAGAAGATCAAAATCCACACCCAACCTAACTATGTAAGTCTTTATTCAAGTGAAAGTGTATGAGTTAATCATGGGCTATGAGACACACACACACACAAAAAGTTTTAATTATGCAAAAAATAAACGTAGAGTTTTTGATAAAAACAATCGTTTATAATTTGTATTTTTTGCATGAGTTTTGAAATATCACCCAGAATGATTTGCATAATAACTGACTTGAATTTTCTCTACTTATCTGAATGCGTTTTGTTGAAACTTTTTCACCCATATTTGCAGATCGAGAAATTATAGTCAGTATGCTCTGCGAAGTTCAGATATTGCTGTGTTCAATAATATAGAAATTAGGTTATGACTTGTTACAACATATAGCACATGAAATAGAATGGACTTGCGCATACTTCATTAATGAGTATACTGTATACATGATGTTTAACTTTCCCTTACGATTTGTTCTCATCTATATGATTTCTCCTTACTCTATTCTTCTCACCTTTCTGCCCTCTCCTTGACCTATCCTTCTCTTTTTCAATGCTCTCTTGTTCTCTCTCCTATATGCGTATATCAACATGTGCTTGATGTGTCAATAAGGTGGCTGTATAATATGAAGAAATAGAATAAAATGCAATATCATCCATACTAACATCACCTTCTATTAGAAATCGTCACAGTTCTCATAATATTTTCTCGGTTGCAGGTAAGTATACGAAAGTATTGTGAAGTAAGGAATCATTTTTAGAAATTATTGAGTTGCTCAAACACGAATACATCAACAATATTATGTTGCTCTATTCGAATATCAGATTCGATGATTTCGTTTGTAAGGTTCATTTGAATGTTGCTTCAATTTTTAGGAAAAAAAAACAAAATTCTTAATATTTCTGAAGTCCGTTTTTTTGAAATTTCAAAATCGTCAATATCATTCAATATTCTGCATATGAAAGCGTCTAGTTTTTGTTGTTTGATTTTAATATAATTTATCATCATATTATTTACTGTGGGACTGTGAGAATTTTCGATTGAAGGCATACCCAATATTAATAACATGCTATGATAATGTGAAGAGAGCATACGTGATGAAGGTAGATAATATGATAACAATAAATTAATTGACATAATGTTTAATTGGCAGACAATAGACAGAATGAATTATTTCGAAATTCGAAAATGTTAAATAATCTAATATTCATTTTCAGATCATGAATCAATGAAATGTGATTCAGTTTTACTAAAAGACAACGACACAACTCCTTCCAATATACTGTCTTATCATCGTCACTTCTTCAGCAACAAAAAGGCGTGGCAAGCAATAATGTTTTCAACTGTTACTTGGTTATCTTTTTTTCACATTTCTATAAAGCACAAAAAACATATTCAACCCTATGGTAAGAGTTTCAGATAAATTTTATTTCATATTGCTAGTTAATAATTGCTTATCATCATTTTATTTCATTAGTACTCTTAATGCAAAAATTGAAAATGTATATTTTGATATATTGTGGTCTTGTCTTTGTTCCTATAATTTCTGCAAGTCACGGTGCACCAGTAAAATCGTCTAATCTTTGTGGTTATGATGTAAGAACAATTGAACTGAGAAAAAAAAACAGAATTCGTTTCTATACATGGGATGTATCATTCGTAGGCATGTAACTTAGGTCAACCTGATAAACTTAATGTTCACATTGTTCCACATACTCATGACGATGTTGGTTGGCTAAAAACTGTAGATCAATACTATTATGGTGGTGAGAAAAAAAATCATTTTTAGAACGTCCAAAACACAAAATTCTTTGTTATATTTGAGCTCGTAATGATATTCAACATGCTGCTGTTCAACATATTCTCGATTCAGTCATTCAATCATTACTTGAAAATCCTGATCGTCGTTTTATTTATGTTGAAATAGCCTTTTTTTGGCGTTGGTGGCTAGAACAAACTGAACAAATGCAAAATACAGTCAAACAACTTGTTAATGAAGGTCAATGAATTATGATCTTGAGAAAATAATGATTCATATTTAATATTATAGGTCGCCTTGAATTTGTTTCTGGTGGATGGTCAATGAATGATGAAGGCGTAACACATTACAATTCCATAATTGATCAACATAGTTTAGGTGCTGAATTTTTACGTGATCAATTTGGAGAATGTGGTCGACCAAAACTTGGCTGGCAAATTGATCCGTTTGGTCATTCAAGACAAGTAGCATCACTCTTTGCACATGTTAGTTTAATTTAAATAAAACCTATGCTTTAATTAAGTTTTATTGTATAGATGGGTTTTGATGGATTATTTTTTGGACGAGTTGACTTACAAGATTATGCTGAACGAAATAAAACAAAACTAATGGAAATGATTTGGAAAGGAAGTCCAAATTTAGGTGAATCAAGTTGGCTTTTTACTGGTATAATACCAAGAACTTATGGGCCACCAGAATCGTTTTGCTTTGATATATCCTGTGATGATGAACCTATAAAAGTCAATTGAGAGTCATTATTTCATATTATAATATTTTTTTATATTTATAGGATGATCCACAATTGCATGATTACAATGTACCAGAACGAGTTCAAGCATTTATCAATGCTGCACATAATCAAGTTTGTACAAGATGTATTTGAATCGAAATGATTCATCCATAGATTTATAGGCTATCAATTATGCTACAAATCATATAATGATGACGATGGGAAGTGATTTTGAATATGAAAATGCAAATCAATGGTATAAAAATTTGGATAAATTAATTAAATATGTCAATGCTCAGGTAATAATAAGCGTCTGCATTGATACAACACTCATAGAAAATCTATTTAGCAAACTAATGGTAGTGATGTCAATATTTTTTATTCTACTCCATCATGTTATTTATATGCATTGAACAAAGTCAATCGAACTTGGACAACGAAAACAGATGATTTTTTTCCAGTTTCACTTAATCCACATGGAATTTTGACTGGTTATTTTACTTCACGACCAGCATTGAAACGATATGAACGTCATTCTAATAATATTCTTCAAGTAACAAGACAACTTAATGTATTTTCAAATATGACGCTACGTCATGCTATTTTCCCTTTAAGTATAAATAAGCAACAAACAAAAAAGAAAGGTTTTACTGATATGACTAAATTTTAAAAAATATACATAGGTGAAGCTATGGGTGTTGCTCAACATCATGATGCAGTTAGTGGAACAGAAAAACAACATGTTGCTAATGATTATGCTCAACGATTATCACAAGGCATTGATTCAGCGCTTGTAAGAAAATAAATTGAATTAAAATATTTAACTATGAATATTCGTTTTTTCCTTCTAGTATGTTATTAATGAAGCTTATAAAAAATTATTATTGAAAGAAAATCAATTATTACCAGTACCAACTCAATATCTTTGTCAATTATCAAATATTAGTGAATGTTTACCAATTGAAGGACAAGATAGTGTAAGTAAAATTAGTGCGTTTTGCTCTTCAAATTATCTTTTAATGGAATATGTGAAATAGTTTACATTAACAATCTGGAATCCAACTATTCAACCAATTGAGAATATGATTCGAGTTCCAGTCACAAAGAAATATACAGTTCGAAGTCCAACAGGTGAAACGGTTCTAACTGATGTAAGAATCTTTCAGTATTCTTTTCTTCAAATGCTCTCAATTGTTTAGTTTATTCCAATATCTATACCAATAAAAAATATTCCTGGTCGAATAAGTTCTGCTGAATATGAATTATTATTTCGAACATCGATACCAGCACTTGGTTTTAATACTTATTATTTTGAAGCAAAAAGTAAAAAAGAAAATAAGACTAACAATTTTTTAGTTTTGTTCTATGATCTATTTTCATAAGATGATGTAATAATGGAGAAACAATCTACAAGAAGAGTAACATATAATGAAGCATGTATACTTCAAAATCAAGTAAATAGCTAATCTAAAAACAATATTATTTATTATTCTATTCTTTTTTTTCAATATAGTATCTTCGAATTGAATTTGATGATCAAGGAAATTTAAATACTATTACGAATCGAGATAAAAATATTATATTACCATTTTCTGCCCAAGGTCTTTATTGGTATACAAGTAAATATTTATAATTATTTCATAGATTTACTTAACTATTTTATGATTGATCATAGGTTTTCAGGGTAATAATACTCGTCCAGAATTTCAATCATCAGGTGCTTATTACTTTCGACCATTAACATCAAGTCCATTACCAGTGAGCAATACACGTAATATGTAAATATAATATTTTATTTTTCATTCGAATATTTTAATATTAATTAGAACATGCACATATACGAATCAAGTACAAATAGCATTAATTATTTATAATGAATGGACTTCTCAAGAAATAAGACTTTATGATGGAGTTCGAAATATTGAAATTGAATGGATCGTTGGCCCAATACCCATTGAAGATAATATCGGTAAAGAAATAATTATGCGTTATGATACAGATATTCAAAGCAATAGAACATTTTATACGGATGCTAATGGACGTGAAGTATTAGAACGGAAAAGAGATTATCGACCTTCTTGGAATTATACTGTATATGAAAGTGTTAGTGGAAATTATTATCCAATTCCAAGTCGTATTTGGATTAAAGATAATCAACGACAATTAATAATACTTACCGGTCTAGAAAAATAAATATTTTTTCTTTTCAAATTTTAAATAAAAAATTTTTTAAAATTTATTTTAGATCGATCAGAAGGTGGTTCAAGTATGCATGATGGTTCTATTGAACTTATGCTTCATCGTCGAACACTTTATGATGATTCTCTAGGTGTCGGTGAACCGATCAATGAAACTGCCTATGGTAAAGGTCTTGTCGTATGTGGCAAACATTATTTACTTCTTGAAACACCAGAATCAAGGGCTTCTTATCATCGTAGTACTGCTCAACGTCTTTTTATGAGTCCTATTGGTACATATGCATTACCAAAAGTACCTTATGCAAATTATTCAAATAGTTATCGTCAAACATGGTCAGCTTTGACTGAACCATTACCATATAATATTCATTTACTCACATTGGATCAATTATCATCAAAAGTATATCTTATACGAATTGAACATTATTTTGAATTAAATGAAGATACAACTTTTTCTAAAGAAGTTCAAGTTGATTTACAAATATTATTTAATAGATTAGGTAAAATAATTGATTTCGTTGAATTAACACTTGGAGGTAATTTACCATTGAATGAAATGAAACGACTTGTTTGGAGAACAGATAATAATGAATCATCTAATTGGAAATCAAACGGTATGAAAAAATAAGTTTATTTATTAAATTAATAATATTGGTTTGTAATATTTTAGATTCGAATTTATTAAAGAGTACAATCGTTACAATCAATCCTATGCAAATTAAAACTTTTCAAGTTACATTGCAATAAATAACATTGTGAACTTTTCTCTCTTGATTTGTTTTTTTACGTGAAACAATTTAGTTGTTTATATTAAGTCATGAAAATTAAATATATTTAGATATCGATGCAAGATTGACATTTTTTTTTGGAAGAATCAAAGAAATATGGAAATTATTCGTTACGATACGATGAAAAAAGGATATTACTCATCAATAAAAAGGAAAGAACAGGCATTTGCACATACAACTTTGGAAATTCCTTGGTCGTGAAATACACTAAACGAAAGCAGGGGAAAAGTCCAATGCAAAAGATTTCTTTACATTATATTTCTTCGATAAGATAATGAAAAATAAAATTATACGTAGAAAAAACAAGAAAAAAAACCCTGCTTCTATTTCATATACTTGCTCATTCATACTTTTATCGCCCTGTCACACTGAGGATCGTGATGGTAAGATAGATTGTTCTTGTCAGCGAATACGGTAAGAATTTTGTACAAATGTACGTGGTGCATACAATGAGGTCACCATAGTTACCTGATATTGTACACCTCATTCTCGAAGTCACTTTATGGTAGCTATCAGAAAATTTGACCAAGAACAGTAGGAGCTGATGAATTCAAAGACATTTCTGAATTGTAATGGTATCGTTAGAAGTATCCGGAGTTTCTATGTTAAGAATGCTGATGATTCGTCAAGTAAAAATTAGACCTATTTGGAGAAGAGTCTTTTCACCTTCTTTTTTTGTTTACTTCTATGCTTCATACTCTTATTAGGACGAAATCTTCGATTGTTAGATTGTTTATGACAAAGCATAGGGTTTTCAATACACGCTGAAAGGTGAATTGTTGAGATAATTACAAGACTATCATTCTTTGATGTGTTTTGTTAGTAGTGATTCATTCATATAATTATTCATTTGATCATGAGTTCAAAGATAAAAGTGTATGGAATTCTATCGTATTTCGATGTCTCTCTAACGAACACACGGAAAATTAAGACTGCTGAGTTCATTTTACTATCAGTAGTTGTTTCTATTGTTACTAAAACTCATTATTTGTAGTAGTGTATTAAAAAAATGTTCGCATTTAGTTTTAATAAAATTCGTGCAAAAGACTCGGGTGGAAGTAAGAGAAAATGAGTTTTTTTCATCTATATGTAGATCTACACTCTACTTAAATATAATCGCCTAATCATGAAGGAAAATGTTTTAAACAATGAAAATCACTAATGCATTTCTAAAACACCAAGACGTGTGCTTTTTTTTCTTGATTGAATCCGAAGTTATTGCTTGGCTATGTATGGCCTTCGTTCAAAAATATTCTGGAAAGCTGCTTAGGAAAAGAATTAGAAGTATACGTGGAAAAATAAGTCACGATAACGACGGATGATAGTTCCATGCAACAGCTATTCTTCATCTTTGCTTCAATATTTCATTTTTAGTATGAGTAGAAACGCTTCAATGTATAGATTAAGGAAGATGTATGAAGAGAGACGAGGGTTCAAGCAGCAGTAAGATTGTAATTATTGTCTCATAGAATATTTTAGGGTGGTAGCTAGGGATGGTACCTTCACTTTCCTTTCCCTGCTTTCTTTTCCAAAAAAAACGAAAGGAAAGTTATAAGGTGAGATGAATGATAGGTTTTAAAAAGTTTCGTATATATATATGATCTGTTTAATAAATGAAGTTCTAACAGACATAATGGTTAATATTTTCAAATTATTTTCTTATTGTTTCTCTATTTTCTTTCTAATTTTTAAAGACAACAATCATTTCTTCTTATTTCTAAAGCTGCTTTTTCTATTCATCAGTGTGAAGTGAAACATGGAAGATAAATACTCGATACACGATAGAGAAAATCAAAATAGATGATTTCCCATGGATTTTTGGTCTCAAATTTTGATTTTGCTTGTTCATATTCTTTTTAATACATAGAAAAGTGAACTGCTGGTGAAGATCAACTGCGCAGTTTTCCTTAATAAATACCAAGACCCCAGTACTTTTCCATTTTTCATTTTTTCTCAAATCTCAACCCGAAGAAAAGAGCCGATACTTGAAATTCAAATGCAATTAATGCCTTTTTCAAGTTAGACTGTGTGACAGAAGAAGTTGAATAGCTCCAGAACGCAAACAGCTAGCAAATTGTGATTTTGATCACTCGAAAGTGAGTACTAGGCGATCTCAATCTGTATCAAAATCAAAAATTTGAGACATAGCTCTCAGAGATTTTTGTTAGAATCTTCGGTAAATCGCGTTCTCCATCAGGAAGTTTTATTACATTTTTACTTCAACTTTATTTATCTTGTAGTCAAAGATCTATTCAATGAAGTTATGCAAGCCACAGATTCTTTTACTTTCTGTTTCAGTAGTGGCTTTCAGGCTGCTGAACCTTTAAAAATCCAGCTTTCTCATTTCACTCAACTTGATTTTCATAATAAAGCTCTGGTTTGCATTCATGGTGAATATCGTACCAAAATTTGCTTTGTTATTCAGAGACTTAGGGTGAAGCAAGAAAAATTTATCAAACCAGTTGATCTTCGGGTCATCGTATCCTTCAATGTGACAGTTATGAGTCACGAAGTTCACAACTGAATAAGCTCGAGTCCTCAACCTATGCATGTGAGATGTCCATCTGCAAGATATTAGGAAACCAAACCTGTTTTTTGAAAAAAAACTTTATTTTTTATATATTTCAAGAAAACCTGTCGATCTTTAACTGTAACACTTGATCCTTCTCTCATGACAGCTTTATCGACACGTCTTGCAAGCTTCATTGAAAACTCGTGCTCACTCAAGTGTGAATTTGATGATTCGCGATTGTCACAGTGATACGGCTGGAGTGAAAGTATAATAGAGTTTTCTAAGATGGATGGCTATTTTCCGAACATTCTAACAGATATTTCTTAGACTTACCTGTGAAAATTTTTAAATATAGCACAGGCTATCGTCAAGTGGGAACATTCGAGTAGTAGAAGTTACATATCACTAGCTGTTTCGATCTCTGAGCTACTCAACTTCTTCTCATACAATCTATTTTAAAAATAACATTGCAAACCCGTATGTGTGTCGTAGTTTTCTTACTGTATAGATTTGTTTTCCTGGCAATGGGAGAAATACAATAAACCATCTTTTTATTGACAAGCATCACAGAGTTGTTTGAGATCTGAATTGGAGCCATGCTTAATATATTTTTCTTGTCATCAGAAAGAATGAGCAAATCTTTGGAGTTAATAGTGATGCAACTCAGTAACGTGCTAATATCGAAAAGACTAGTGAAATTCTGAAAGGCTCGGAAATGGAACAACTACAGTAGAAAAATGACTTCAAGCGGGAAAAAATCACCAGAAAAGAAAAGAACCAACGGTCCATAAGAGTTACTTATATTAAAATGACTATTCTATTGTCCCTGGTGTCGATAGTACATATACTGTAACTTTCTAAAAATATGAAAGATTTCAACTTTTCTTTCCTAAAAAGAAGGAAAGCAAAAACTTTCCTTTCTTTTCTTTTCTGGAAGTAAAAGGAACGTGAAAGTGCCACTCCTAGTGGTAACTAGTGACTACATATATTACGATCGAATACATCGATTCAGAAAGGATCTCTACTTTCTCTACCTGTCTAGTTGATCCAGGATATTTTTGATTATAGCGATGTCGACACGATTTTTCATTGAATACGCCGCGTTTGCGAAAAATTCAATGTGGGTGTGGGTGTGGGTAGGTAGATAAACCGTACATCCTACATCCACACCTGAACTCATACCTTTTTCGTATCTGCTTGTTTTTGCTCTTGTAGAATGCTTTATCTATTTTCAGAGAAAAATACGAACGTCCTTTTTCTTCAAGAAGAAGAAGAAAAGACGCTATTCTTTCACGGCTGAATCATCAAGCGAAGAACGAAACAAGACTGGACCCCTTGACGATCGATAAAAAACGAATATTGTCATCAATACAGGTTCGCGTGAAATTGCATATGTACTTGTTCTCGCCAAAAGTAAATTTTCTTGTAACAGAACACGCAAAAGCACTTTTTTCGTATGGGAGAGAAGAGAAAAAGCAAAAAAATATATCAAATAACATTTCGCCGAAAGTCACCTCTTACCTAGATAAAACAGAACTTCATAAAAGTATTGTGCGTTTCAGAAAGTGAGCATAAACAAGGCAACGAATTCACAAGAAAACTGGTTTTCTCAAGGTAAATATTATAGACACACTGATCGAGACATTTTAGTTTAGCAGACTCGAAAGCATCACACAAGTAGAAAAAATGGGCTCTTCTTTGACTTGCTTCATCGAGACCAGTTTGGCAGAAAAGTTATAACTAGTTGATAGTATTGTAGATGAAGAGATAAGAGTAACACACATGTGTTTTCGATTAGATTTCTGAAATTGTGTATGTAATGATTCGATCTTACTTTTTCACTGTTTCTCTCATTTTAATTGACAGCCTTCACCTAGATGAACCCAAATGGTAACTAGCATTAAAACCATTGTGGTCCTGCATTTAACTATATTTCACGAGCTAATTCAGAGCAAGTAACTTTTAAGCATCAGACGTCAAAAGTATCTGAAATATATTAATTTCATTAATGAAAACATATCTATCATGTATGTTATAAATTGAAAATCTATATCAACTAATTATTCCTTATATTAGTTACGTATATAGTGTTATGTTTATTCTATAGTACAGACCATTCGCTTATAGTATATCTTTGTGATCTAATAGGACTGAAAACTTACAGCCATAATGGTGTAAAAGAGCTACTAATCAATAATACAGTCCATTTGCCGAATGTTTCCAAAGTTTTAATTTGGTACTTGGTAAAGCATGTTAGAATCTATCTTCAGTGGATGGGTAAAATTCCCCTTTCAACATTTGTTGAAATACAGTGCTTCAAATGTGAGCTTCTGTGAAGATATAGATAGTCTACATGATGAACCACAAAGTAATGGTTTTCGTACTTTTATAATTTTCTCCTTCATAAAAGAATATCGAGTTGCACGTTCTTTCAAACCCTCATCGTG